GTCCCTGGTCCCTCGGGGGTGCGGAGGGGCACGGGCTGCTCCGAGCCCCGGGCGCTGCAGCCTTTCCCCAGCCGCCTGCCTTTCTCACCTGCCACCTGCCCGCCTCACTGCAGCCTCTGATCTTTGCTCTCGTTTGCCCCAAACTTGCCATCCCCCAAAGGCAAAGTCCTCACAGTGGCTTCCAAGGCCCTTCAGCCCAAGACCCTGACTTCTCTCATCTCCTGGGGGCTCCTCTCGCTGGCTCTCGGGAGTGTCACGTGCAGTTTCTAGAACACACCTGGATCTCTGAGGCCACCCGACCTGGACTCATAGGAGCCCCTCTGCTGGCGGACCTGCCCCTTCCTTCAGGGGTCGTTCTGGCTCACCTCCTCCCAGGAGCCTTCCTGGAACAGCCCCTCTGCCCCGCGTCCGGCTCAGGCTCAGTCTGGCCACACGGTTTGTCCTGCACTAAGTTGCTGGGCCTGGCACTAAGCTGGCATCGCTGAATGTTGTGATTTAAAAGAGAAATGTGGCTGCACACCGATGTGAACTGTCTGCTGAAAATGTTAAGATCCATTGTCATGTGGCCTTAGTCGGTTTGGCTCAGTGGCTAGAGCTTTGGCCTCTGGGCCAAAGGGTCCCGGGTTCGATTCCAGTCAAGGGCACGTACCTTGGTTGCAGGCTTCTCCCTGCTCTGAATGCAGGAGGCAACCAATCAATGTGTTTCTCTCACACCGATATTTCTCTCTATCTTTCCCTCTCTCTCCCATTCTCCCCCCAAACTAATGGCAAAATATCCTCGGGTGAAGATTAACAACAACAAAAAAGATCTATTGTGAGGTGTATTTTTTTAAACACACAATTTTTGAAAAGAGAGAAATACAGTCAAACTAGAAAGATAGCACTTGTCATCTATCGAATCATGAAATTCAAAGCATCGGTTAACACGCAGCGTTGATGAGGCCACGGGTAACGGGACAGCACCTGGGTGGCCAGTCTGATGGTGGCACCAAAAGGACAAATACACAGACTATTTGACCTAGAAATGCCACTTCTAGGATTTTGTCATCTATATATACATGCTGGTCCCACGAGCAAAATAATAGAAATTCAAGGTTATTTGCAAAGGACATGGAGCAACCTGAATGTCCACGAGTAGGGGACCAGTTCGATCCGCTACGACACAATTTCACACAATGAAATAGTGTGCTGCCCTGGCAAAGAAAGGCCCTTATGTGCTAGTACAGAATCGCCTTCACAGTCTCATGTTAACTGGAAAAAATAAGGTACAGAATAGCACGTATGTAATGCTTCCATTTTAGGGGGGCAGTTTATATGTGTTTATTTGTGCATAAATTATCTCTGGAAGGCTGCACAAGAAAGTGGTAACTACAGTGCCCTCTGAGGAGGTAGCCGTGAGGCAGGGTGAGGCACGAGTAGGAGTTATTTCCAATGTCTATCCTGTTACACCCTTTGAGTTTTGTACCATGTGCATATGTTTCCTATCCAAATGCATTAAAGGAATGTATTTTTCCAAGTAAAGGCAGCCATTAGGTTTTCTTCAGGACTCTCCAGGCTAAGAAAGGAGACCGGGCTAAGGGAGATGCCACTTATTTAGGAAGCAGTGGTGGGCTTGGGGGGTGGGGAGGCAGACCTGGGCCTGCAGTGAGGGGAGGGGCAAGCTGGGCAAGAGCCTGAGAGCCTGGGGTCTTCTCCGGGAGCTTGGCGCAGGCCCAGCAGAGAGCCTTGTTGAAGGACTGAGTCCTGATGGAAAGGCTTTTCATCTGTCCATTCAGTCAATAAATATCTATCGAATACCTACTGTTTATTGTGGTGCCGTGACTATGACCAGGATCAAGCACCTCTGGCTTCACAGCCTTGTAGAGAGACAGACAATACACAGACACGGCCCACGCGGCGAGATCGGTGCGGTGACTGGGGACGGCCACAAGGCGTGGGATCTCAGTGCACTTCCCCGGGGAAGTGTTGTCTCAGCCACGACCGGGAAGATGAGAAGGCGTTGGCCGGCCAAGCGTGGAGCAAGAGTGTCCCTGGCAGAGGTTCATGCCAAGGCTGGAGTGTGCCAAGGAAGGGAAAGCCTGGAGAGATCCAAAGAGGGTAGGTGGACAGGGCTGGGCAAGTCTCGAAGGTCAGGGTAAGTTCAGAATCCACACAAGGAGCCACCGGAGAGTTATAAGTAGTGGCCGTGTGTTTCCCGGGTTGTTCTCACTGTGGGAAGAGGGAACAGAGGGAGATCAACCGGCCCACAGGCTGCTGCCATAAGCTGGGTGAGACGTGGGGTTGGCTTAAATGAGGGGGCAGAACTTCAGGGGGGAGGGAGTGGGTGGATTTGAGATTTCTGTTGGAAATCAAGCCTACAGGTCTTGATAACGGATTTGTCAGAAGAGAGACGGGGGGCGAGGTATCTGTGATGATCCCCGGGCTTCTGTGCTGAGCAGAGTATCGGGAGGAGCCCTGAGACGCTGGCTGCAGCGGGAGGGAGGAGCAGGCTGGGGGTAGGAGAATCAAGAGCTCCATTTGCGATCTATTGATTCCAAGGTGTTTGGGGACATACAGAGGCATGAAGCAGGAAATCGGGTAGAGGAATGTGGAGCTCAGAGGAGAGGGCTGGGCTGGAAATATACATTTGTGAGTCATCAGCATATAGATGGTATTTAAAGCCATGCGACTGGATGAGATCACCTAGGGAGTGAGAGTATAGATAGAAAAGAGACGGTCCAAGACTGAGTGGGTTAGAGAACAAGGAGTCCCGGAAACCCGTGAGCGTGGCCAGAGCCTGGAGGCAGGTTCAGGATGCTGACGGACAGACAGAGTGGATTAGAGAAGTAACCATTCGGTTTGGCAAGTTATGAGGTCATTGGTGGACTCGGAAAAAGTGGTTTCAGTGGAGTGGTGGGACAAAGAAAGGCCCGAAGGCGTTGAAAAATACATTCAACGTGAAGGAGTAGAGACAGCACGTATAGCCAGCCCCTTAGGTGTTGTCTGTGCTCTAATGATGTGCGTCCTTGAGTTCTCTCCCCGGTGCGCCCTGAAGGCAGACAGCAGGGCCTGCCGGCTTAGATCTAAGCCGCAAAGGGAGCCCAGCTCGATGCATGCGCTTGATCATCGGAGGAGTAAATGAATGGGTCATTCACTGCTTGAGTCGAAGGGGCCTTTTTGGGTAGAGAGGGCAGCTGTATTCTTTTGAGGCAATTGAGGGAACGGCAAAATCCACCCCAAAAGCTGGAGGCTCTGAACCCCTTTTCGCCCAGCTGAACCCCAGCAGCAGCTGCACGTGGGGCCAGGCCCTGGCCCAGAGCCAGGAACCGGGTTTCGTCCCTGCTGCCCTCACATGCCTGTGACCGGGGAACTCACTTGCTCTTTCTTAGGAGAGGTAAGTGTAGGGAGGAGGGGCCCAGCCCGACAGGAGGCCCTTGAGGTATTTCCCTCCTCTTTCCCCCTTTTCTCTCTGGGTTTTTTTTCTTATTTAGGAAGCAGAACACGGCAATGCCTCCTGGTGTTGCTGTGAGGAGCAGGAGTGGGCAGCCCATGAGGGCAGGAGAGATGAGGTGGGGACCCAGTGGAGGAGGGAGCAGACCTCACGCATGAACAGGCCTCTGTGTAATAACACCAAGGAGACCCTGATGTGTCCTTGGGCTTGGGTAGGGCGGGACACATCTGTGACAGACAGCCCCTCCCTGCCAATCAGAGGGGAGCTAACTCTCTGAAGCAGACTGCAGCCTGCCAGAGTGAAAGTTGGGAAGTGACAAATAAAAGAAGATCGGGGCCCTCGCCGGTTTGGCTCGGTGGATGGAGCATCGGCCTGCGGACTGAAGGGTCCCGGGTTCAATGCCGGTCAAGGGCACATGCCTGGGTTGTGGGCTCAATCCCCAGTGAGGGGTGAGTGCAGGAGGCAGCTGATCAATGATGTTCCTATCTCTCTCTCCCTCTTTCCTTCTCTGAAATCAATAAAAATATATATACTTTTAAAAAAAAGAAGAAGATTGGGGACAAGAAAGGGGAAATGGGATGGCCCTTGAGGGAGCCCACCCAGAGAGCGGAGCAGCGACAGCTCTGTGCATGACTGAGAGCTGCCTCGGGAGATGGGCCAGGGGACTTTCTCTGACAACCGCGTGCCTGCCATTCCCCCTGCGACGCCTGAAGCATCTGAGGCACCTGTGGGAAGGTGGGGTGAAGGCCTGGATCTGGGGAGCTGGGTCTCCCGGGAGGAGGGAGAGCAGGCAGGCAGGCAGGCAGGCGTGGACAATGCTGCCACCTAGTGGGGGACATCTTATTATTTCTCTTGGTTCCCGGCTGAGCTCTAAGCGACAGGGTTTTGGGTGAGGGAAATGCCTGTGCTCCTGAATTTGGGGACCCGGGGAAGCCTCGGGAAGGAAAACGCACACCCCAGGGAAGTGTGCGCTGCCCACATTACTTTGCCTCGGCTCCCTCTCCTGGGCAGTGAAGGCAGTTCCTACTTCACGGGGCTGTGATGGTAGCTGAGTCCGTCTATGTGACGTGCTTGGCGTGGTACTAAGTGCTCAATACATGGTGGTTGATCCAAGGGAACCGAACGTGTGTAGCCTTACCCCCTTCTACACAGAAAACCTGCGCCTTCTCTACAAATACGGTGTCCTTAGCCCCACCAAGCCCCTCCTGTTTCCACATTCTGGGGCTGCCACTGTGTACCCCAAGGGGTGGGGGCTCTGTGGGTCCCAGCCTCTCCCCTGCTGATTCTGGGGTGGCTGGAGAAGGGTTCCAAGCCCCAGCACTTTCTCTCTCCCCTCACCCCAGGGTGTGTGGTCATAAGGGCTCCGGGCTGTGACCTCATAGAGCCCCAGCCCCGTCACAGGAGTGGAGAGGTCATGAGTCGGTGGCAGTGGGCGAGGGTGTGGGTGTGGCTGGTTGGGCTGGGGGCCGTTGCAGCAGGTGGGGCGTGGTGCTCGGAGCCGGGGAAGGGGGAAAGCTTGGGGGGAGGGGTCAGTGCCCCCTCAGGGGCTGGGAGGACAAGCTTCGGCCTTTCTCTCTGTTCCCCACGCTCTCTCCCACCCACCCCCTCCAGCGTGGGCCTTCTGGCGGAAAGTTCAGCTGAGCGTTGAGAAGCTCCTGGGACAGAGTTGAGCCCCTCCATAGCCACTCGAAGGCCGTGTGGCCTGGCAGGCCCTGGGTCTGCCTCTGCCGCTTGGGGTGGGCGGGGGTCGGCGGGGCTCTTGTCGCAGACGTCGCTGTGGTCCGCAGCACCCACCCCGGAGGGCGCCAAGACCTGGGCCCTGGGAGCAGAGTCCCCGCGCTTCCTAGACAGACCTGACTTCTTCGATTACCCGGACTCCGACCCAGCCAGGCGCCTGGCCGTGGCCCGGTTTATCGGGGAGAAACCCGTCATCTTTGTGAAGTCAGGTGGGGAGCAGCCTGAGAGGGGCCGCCTCGGTGTCAGAGCCTCGGAGCGGAGCCCCGGCCGACGCCCCTGCCTTGTCCAGCAGGTTCCAACCCCAAGCTCTTCCATCACATCCTGGTGGGCATCCTGGTGGCGGCCTTCCTCTTCTTCCTCTTCCAGTTCTGCACACACATGTAAGGCTGCCCCTCACGCCCGCCCGCCCCCCAGCCTTCCTGGCGGGAGGCCTCCCACCTCTGACCCCCACGCCCCCCGTAGGAGCTGCCAGAGAGGGGCCTGAGGAGCCAGGCTGAGCGCTCAGACCCACCCTCCGCCCCTGCAGAGGAATAAAGTTTGTGCTGAGGCGGGCGGCGTTCACGCAGATCGTCTTTATTAGCGGTCTGGAAGCACCTCCCGGGGTCCCCGACCCCAGACTGGAGGAAGCCTTGGGGGGTCTGTAGCACCAGGGACATGCCAGGGCCTGCGGGCGAGTGTGCAGCCTACGGGGGAGGGACCGGACCGCCCCTCACCTGCGGGATTGCTCAGCGCTGGGAAGGCGGGGGGAGCAGCCACCGCCCCGACAGACGAGTGAGAATGTGGGTGAATAAATAGGAAACCAG